GAAAAATAATAGAATGGAGGTAGGAAACACAAAAAATCTGAGGGACGATGGGTATTTAACCTCTTTTGATTTTGTGTTTCCTGTAGCAGGAGGAGCCAATTATCTCTCAGGTTGCTGGCCTGGAAGATGATTGGAGAAATTTACACTTTTTATCTACAGTGATTCTTTTCAACCAACATAGAATAAAGTAGGAAAAGACTGGGTTTCTCTATGTGCTATGCTATTTTCTATGAATTGCATTTAAAAAAGCCAATACGATCAAAAGAAAGCCTTCTTTCTCCTCAAAGAGAATTCTAGTAAATGAAAAAGTAAATTCTATAGAAATGTAGTAATGAAAATGATTGCCAAATAGGAAGACCCATAGCAGAGAAGTACAAATTCTTCTGACCCACTTGGGGTGTACAGGTATGAGAACCGATGTGGTAAAGAAGACTTCCCCGCCATGTCAAAATCGAACAGCCATCTATGTTTCCATCTTTATAAACAAAGAAAAATACACGTTCAAGCTCAACTATTTTCTGAATAGAAGTGACTCAAATTTTATAATTCTCTATTCTATTAGTAAATGTTCTTCAATTGCAATCAGTGGTACCATAAAATGCCTTCTCCAACCTGTTCAGGAGCCACTTTGTATTATCAGCGATTGAACGAAGTGTGTCTATGCTGCCCATGGCAACTAATCTCTTCTTTCATCTGGGTTATGTTTTGTCTGCAGCATATATACATGTAGTCTCTAATTACATAGTTGTTAAGTTCTGTAAATGTAACTGTAGTGTTGATTTGCTGAACAGATCAACACAAGGAAGCCTGATGAAATTATTCCCAAAGACATATCAGCACTGCCTAGGTACCTTGTAAGTTATTTATCTAATATCTATATATTCATGGTTATCTTCATAATGTAAGAATTCTATTTCACCATTACATTATTGTTGTAAAGCCAACTACGGGGACTGTGGCCTGACATTTAGACTGTAGGTTCACACTATAGCGTTGCACTAAACTCACAGTACCATGCATTTAGTGAACGCTATCGCACAGCAAATCTAGTATGTGGAACCCTGGGGGCTAAGTGTGTTGTGTTGCCAGTCATTTGAATGGCATTCAAGTACACTTCCCGGTTGCCGTGCGTAGCAGTGCAGTGGTACCAGAATACCATGTTGTGAAAAGAATTGCTGCATGCACTATGTACTGTGTTGGTATCTCTGGAAGGACAAAAAAGGTCCTGTGTCAGGGATGTCATTAAAAGGAAAAAAAGTAGTGGTGGCTCTAAAGAACCAAATGCTGCTGGGTCGGTGTCAATGGTTGGAAAAAGTATCAAAGTAGTCACCCGGAAACAGAGGTCCAACATCTAAAACGCCTTTATTCACATGTTAAACATGTTGTTAGGTGGTATTAGTGGACAGCAACGTTTCGGAACTATTAAAAGGTCCCTTCATCAGGCAAACATAGTGTACCACAAAGTACAATGGGGGGAATTTATCAAAACTGGAGCAGACAAAATCTGGAGCAGATTTGCACTGCAGCCAATCAGCTTCTCTCTCATTTTTAAATCTTACCTGAGGAAACTGAAAAGAGATGCTGATGGGTTGCCATGGGCAACTGCTCCAGATTCTGTGTGCTCCAGTTTTGATAAATTCCCCCTAATGTGCTTTGCGCTGCAAAACCTGCAGCAGGACCTATTTTTAAAGTGTGTTGACAACCCATTCTTTTTGAATGAGCTGCCTAATGTAGCATGTGTCAAGGGACTGAAACGTGTGCAGTGCTTTTCACTGTGCACAGGTATGAATAAGCCCAAACACAGAGCAGGTGCCCTGAGAGGGCAAGCAGGAGAAGTTGAGCTGCTGAGAAAGAAGGCATTGAAGGACCTCAGTTTTTCGGCCTTGAAATTTGAGGAATAGCACCACAGTGGTTGCACCTACAGAGGTCAATAAGGGCTTTTTTGAAAGGTAATTTACTGTTATCTGGATATCTAAATATGTAAATGTCTATATCTTGGTCACAGGTCCATTAAAGCATGGTTCCGCTAGGCAAACCTTTATATTGCAAACTATTTTGCAGATTCATACATTTCCCAGGTCTAATTCTTTCTCAAAATCATTTATGAAGAGGATGTTCTGCCTTCATTATATACAGCCAATGCAATGATGTCATGAGAAATGCTGCAGTGTCTGCATCCCTTTTCTAACAGCTGAGCTATATAGAGTATCTCAACCAAAATACAATTTCAGGGGATTGCCTGGAAATGTATTTGCATCTCAGTGCAGACTTCTCAGAAAAGCAGTGAGCCAATTACATAAGCAGAAACTTTCTGGGGTCATTACTAACAGTGTATAAAACATCTCTAGGACGTCATATTGCAAGAAAGCAAAATGGAAAAATGTAGCAATTTAAGTGTTTTGTTTTAAAGGGGAACTAAAGTTTCATTTGTTTTTTCCAGAAAACGTTGCTTTCCAAGGTGTGTAAAATACTAAATCACCACGGATATAATTACATGAAGCTAGTCCTAAATCTGTAGAGTTCAGTTTCCTGTACCCTCCCTGGCGGTCTAATTATCCCAGTATTTTTTCTCGTTTTTTTTCCTTTTGAATTTCCCGCCGGTTCTGTCTGCTTGTGACGCGGGCGATCGCAAGGGAAGGAACCCGGAAGACGGATGCCACACTCGGGATTACCGCCCGGAAGGTTAAAAATGTCAAGGCTCTACCTGGCAGTAGTTTATCAGATGGTTTAGGGCAGTGGTTCTCAACGTTTCTAGGGCCGGGACCCCCTGGAAACAATTGCCAAGTTGTAGTGACCACCCAACGGAAAAAAATATTTTTTATTATAATTATTAGGGATGCATTGCCAATACCAAATAATGATACCAGTTCTGTGTGCTTTGATTATCAAGAAATCGGGCGGTGGATCATGACCCTGATTGCCTGGGAAACCGGTATGCTATTGAAAGAACATTGCCTTCAATTCCCGAGGCTGCCTGATCAATCAGGAAGCCAGGTGGCAGGTCATGAGGTGCCGCCTGGCTTCCGGATTGGTCAGGAAGCCAGGCTGTCTAGCAACAAGTGAAGCAGGATTGCTAGCCAATCAGGAAGCAGGGCGGCACTGATTGGCTAGGAAATCGGATCCACACACTATTAGCTCGGAAGTTCCGGTATCGAAGGTAAGTATCGGAGCATTTGGGTGAGTACGAGTATAGGTGCATCCCTAATTATGATGATAATTTTTTTGTTACTTTTTTAATTTTCATTTATATTATTTCATTTTTTTATAATTTTCATTTTATCATGGTTTACTTTTTATCACTTAATTTTTTGATTACTTTTTAATAATTTTCTGTACTTGTAATTTTTTTTTTTTTTTACTTTTAGCAATAAAGAGAACCTGTCACCTCCAGCACAGGAGTTCTAGCACAGCACTGTGCTGTAACCCCTGTGACAGCTGAGATGGGAGGGTTGCGAGTACAGCCCTCCCATCTCAGTGTTAACACGGAGCAGAGGGGAGAACAGACGTTCTCTGCTCTGCATCCTTAGGCGATTTGCCGTGGTCCCAGGTCCCCGAGAAGAGTGCGGGAGCCCGAAAACCATGGCAGCGACAGAAAGGCGGCCAGCTGGGAGGGAGGCGGCTGGCAGAAGGGGACGGACCACGGCAGTTCCTCCACAGCCACTGCAGCAACATCTGGCAGCTGCCGGGAGAACTGTCATTGCTGCTCAAGGAGGAGGCTGTGGAGCCTCTCACCAAGCGCAGCAGAAAGCAGGCTTTTTTTGGTCACGGTCACAACTTATGGGTCATGATTTACAGGTTGAGAACTGCTGGTTTCGGGCTAGTTCACACCAGATGCAGTCTGTTCGGTTTGGCAGCTTATTACAAATCGTGTCACAATGCTTTCCAATGGGATTTCTGGTGCTCTGTTCACACCATTGCAGTCCGTTTCCATGCAGTCAGAAAAAACACTGCTTGTCTTATACTGCTGCGGCTGATCGCATTGGAATGCATCAAACCACATGCAAACGCATTGGAACGGAACTTATCCAAAATGAGAGGAAAAAAAGAAAGAAGCAGAAGTGCTCTGACAGGATGAAGGAAGTGACATAATGGTCTAATTTGCATTTTAAAAAAGAAAGGGGGAAAAAAAACCACGCCAAAATGAATCGTACTGCAGCTGCGCAAAGCATGCAGTTGTGATGCAGTTCCGGTGTGAACTAGCCCTTACAGATTGCTCTGGATCTAACCCGACTGCTGATCCTCCCATGTGATACTTGTAGCAGCCTGTCTTGTTTATGTATTTGTTTGCTTTTCCTGTAACTAAGTTTGTACACGCAGCATTTTCGCCAAGTAAAGTACTTTTAATGCTACTGGGTCAGTTTCCTTGAAGTTTACTGCAAGAACAGACAACAAATAGAAATTAAAGTTTTCCCAAGCTTACAGCTGGGCTCATCCTTGAGATAAGCTTTACGTCTCTGGGATTTGTAGTCCAGAGCATTACAATACTGCACTTTGTGCAGTACCTGTAGTTCTATTTCAAGTATACAGGGGGGAGTTTATCAAAACTGGAGCAGAAGAATCTGGAGAAGTTGCCTATGGCAACCAATCAGCTAAGGTTTGAAAATGAAAGGTGAATGCTGAGTGGTTGCCATGCACAGCTGCTTCAGATTCTGTCAGCTCCAGTTATACATTTCCCTCACAGAACTTGTACAAAACCCAGTTACAAACTGAAACCAGCTCTTCAAAACAAGCCCATTAAACAAGAAAACATATAGAAAAGCAACTGAAACGTGGGCATCCTAAAAATAAACAAGGCATCATGGAAAGTGCAAAAAAGACACGCTCTGCCTGAACAAATTGTACGTGTTATACTTATTGCCATAAAAGATAAAAAGTCTCCATAAGGTAATATAAAACAAATACTTTGAGGTCCAGAAGCACCAGACAATCACGTATTTTAAAGACAACAAAGCTTTATTACTATTTGCATTTGAAAAGTTATATAGGCAAAAGTTACTTACTTCTGTGCTCCCTGAGACAACCGCTTTGTCCACATTGACCAGCTCCCGATCTGCAGTTTGGTGCACGCCTGGTGACCACTCGGCACAACGGTGATGAGCCCAACAGTGACCTGGAAGACAGGGAGGAGGAAAATGTAATGCCTACCATTTCAACCATTCAAAATTAAAAGCTCCTCTCTCAAACATCCAAGTGAGTGCTTCTTTTGACCATTTCATAGTCACCTTAAATAAACTTGCCTTTTGTAGGGTCAGAAACATTGTAACTGCCCTGCTGGGAGGTTAACACCATCAAAATAACTTGAATAACAGGATAAAAATAGTGTCTTTCCTGGGAGGAGGGGGTGGAGAATTGGGGATTAGCGGATTGGGTAATATGGGCAACTGTTCTACTTTGTCTGCTCCAGTTTTGATAAATCCCACCATTTTGCTTTCCCTCAGTTCCATTAGTCACCTGCAGAGCATCTAATATACCAATGACAACTATAAGTTTAATTCTAAAGTAATTAAACAATAATCCTACCTGTGGGCTCAAACAAGGACTGGATATGAACATCATCGGTCAGGCCAACTTGACACAGTTCATCCCAAAATTTACTGCTCTGCTCTTCAGACGCTGTTTGGGTTCCCACGCTTGCATATGTGATATTGTGTAGTGGAGATTTTACTCTGTGGAAGAAAAACAGCAATAAAGTATACCCCAAAGAAATGATTTACAACAGCTCCACACAAAATGAAAAACATTTAGTTTCTGAGGAACAGGGAGATCACCTAAAAGGCCTGTAGCCTCTGCCCAATTTTAATTCCTTTATAAAGAGCTACTAAGTATTATATAATTCTACACGATTTATATAGTACCAACAGTTTGCACATCGCTTTACAACATATGGGTACATAGTAAAATTACAATATCATACAAAAGGATTAGAAGGACCCTGCTCGTAAGAGCTTACAATCTATTATTTCTCTGTGCTTGAGCTGCACCAGAAGCCTGCAAATGGAAATGCATCTAGTATGTAAGTTGAGTGCATATGAATCCTTTATAAATAGAAAAAAATTCACAGAAATGTTGGAATTTATTCATATAACAGCTACACTCAAATACAATGTAGATATCAAGATCCCAATATCTATTTTCAAAGAGGACAAAAATTGGAAAAAGTCTGAAAATTAGGGCGGACAAGTGGGTTACTCAACTTCATACAAATACCAGTAGCAATGCGCAGTAAAACCAGCAAAAGCTTTTTGTGGTTTGGTATGGCAGCATGATCTGACTGCTGAAAGAAGTTAAAGGTGGATGGGCGTCTCTCCTGCCAGCACCCTCAGCAGTCAGAATACCCGAAAAGTGACTACAGCTGATTGGCTAACTTTTGCCAAACCTAGTGGTGCCTGCAGGGCATGGAAATATGTATGGCCAGCTTTGCCGCCTCCTAGTGCTGCTTTACCCTCTCCTAATCTAAGTTTTGTGGCACAGGAAGTGTGCGAGGCCTATAACAATTCAAATTCAGGTACTTGCACTGCTTGGATTAAAATAAAACAATAATAATGGATATAGAACTGCAATCATTTGTGTATTTATAGCTTTGTGGAGTTCAGCTTTAAAGCATATCTAAACTAAAACTAAAAATGTAATATACTACAGCTTACCAGTCCTTAGATGCAGTGGCTGCATTAGTTGTCTTATCTCAAGCGTTGTTACCTTTATTTTCACTTGGTAATCCCCCGAACAACACACTTCCTGTCCCATAATGGCTACACTCGCTTCTACATTGTATCTATGGGGGTAGCCATGATGGTCACAAAAGCTGGACTCGCCTGCCTTCATCTTTCTCTATTACATGGTGGATAAGTAGTTTGTCCAGTAACGATAAGGTTCTTTGTGCTTTCTTTTAAGCTCACAGGAAGTGACATGGATACTACATTTCTGACGGGATCAAAAGTTGTAAAGTGTTTTTAGCATGAAAAAAGAGAAACTAAATGCAGCCACCACATCTAAGGACTGGTGAGCTGCAATATATCTAGTCAGTTTTTCAGTTTCACACACTAACTTTGAAATACCTTTCCATAAATATGCACATTCGGATTGGCTAACAGGTGGTGGAACAGAATGTTACAACTAGACAGCTTCAGTGGCAGCAGGGAAAACAACAGCAATCAGATGAAATCATTCAACATGACCTACTGCTACGGGTACCTTAAAGTAGAACTATGGCTTACCAAACAAAAGTGCTGTAGCACTTAATATGTGCACTTCTCTCTTAGTCCCCCTGTGAAGTTCCACAAACACCTTTTTGGCCTGACAGTAAAATCCACCTTACATAGCTTCCTGTGATGGTGTGATAACGATGCTGCACTGTTCCTGAAATTTAGGGAAGAGTGGCCAATCTCATGTAGGTTGTGTCTGCTTACACTACAGTGGGATGAACAACATGTTGCAGGAATGCTGCTATGAGCAATATCACTGCTGATTCACAAGCTTGTATCCTGTCAATCGCCACACCCAGTCATGCCCACTACTTTCTGGATTGACAGCACTGCCTCTGTTTCAGAATCCTTCCCACTGGGAGCCTGATGTAGGGACCCTGAGTGGCCCTCAAACGTTCTGCAAGCATCAATAAAATGATTACATCTTGAAGATTTAACCCTGGTGTGCTGGTGATAAACTTGACTACTTTATACTGCAGCAGCGCCATCCGCCGGTCACTACAGCACCAACCACAAGGGACATACCAGTAAGGAGTGCGGTAGGATTCTCTGCATTCCTTCCACTATCCAGCCACGCTGTAGACAGGAAGTGAATTGACTGTCACAAAACTGCTCTGTCATTCTTTGTTACATTGATAATTACCCTACTGATCCACCAGAGCCCCTGTTTAACGGTGCAGAAGTATTTCACATGCAAAAGGGACAGCACAGGTTTGAAAGTGACACACAACATGGAGCAGAAGAGAAGAAAGCAAGCACCAAGGCTTAACATATGAGAGGCAACTGAATGACAACACCTTGCCAAAGGGTACTGCCGCATGATAAAAAAACACCACTGCCCACATATATCCTTTCTAGAGGATGAGGCAGGATGCAGCGATACAATTCTTAGTCAACCTCTTATCTTCTGACAAGTGACCTAAATGTGCAGGATTTACATTTTAATTATGATACACATATTTGGTCTCAACAGACTTTTTATTTCCACTGTTCAGGCATTGGTATATATTTGGTTGCTTTTTCTAAAACGACGAGTAGGAGATATTTGTGTAAATGTATTTATCGATGGAACCATTAGCATGGCGATGTTCACCAATGGTCCAAACAGCAAGCAGAGGTTGGGCACTGCAACTCTTCAGATCCTACACAGCCATAAAACACTGCCATAGTGGGTAGGGATGTCCAGATACCAGTGCCGATACTTGGCATTTTCATGAGAACTATCAGGGTTGCAGCGGGGCACTCCACCACTGTCCTGAAATCATTAGTCAATATTGTTTTATAAAAACTGTCACATGGCAACAAAAATGTATCAGTACTTGTATCTGAGTACTTGGACAAGTATCAGTACTCGTAATGGAAAAAATGGTATCGGTGCATCACACATATTTATAAAAAACAACAACAATAATGCATTAAAATGGGGATGCACAAATCCCCGGAGCTCCGTGTGCTCCTTACACATGACAGCTGCCTCCTAACTTTTGAATTTTTCTCTAGTCTAGTCTTGGAGCGGGAAAAGTATCTGTACTTGTACCGAGTACGGTACTTGGTATCTGAACATCCCTAATAGTGGGTACATCACAAGACTATGAACAAAAACAAGGGGCACCTTCCCTAGTGTAGATACCTTTTTATTAAACAAATGGCAAAAAGAATAGATTATAATACTAACAAAAGAGATAGCATTGAGCCTTCAAAATCAAAGGTTGATCCTCAGTCTTAGCAAAAAGCAAGATACAGCATGTAAGACCTGCACAAATGGTGGTTCCTATGTGACAGCACAGTATGCTTGGGTTAACGCATTTCTGAGGCCACGCCCCCTTCCGCAGAATCTAACCTTCTCCTTCCCACTGAATTAAGTAGAGCCGGAAACGCTAGGGAAGGCGCCCCTTGTTTTTTCATCAGATATTACAGTCTCCCTGACTGATGTGGGGCAGCGACCTGTAGAACTTCTGCATGTATATTTCTTCAGTGGAGTGGTCATCTCTGGCGCTATTGGTTCTTATTTTCAGATCACAAGGCTATGTGCAACACGCTATGTACAACACGCTATGTACAACACGCTATGTACAACACACACCTTCTGGTAAGTAAACAAAAAGTTCCAATCAGTTTGAACTGAGCTGTTTAAAAGCTCTCCTTTAAGCATGCCTATTAATTTATATTTCAGAGGAAATGGCCCATTTAAAAAGCCTGGTCAGCAAATGAGAGGGAAAGAACTATAATAAGGTATGCTTAATAAATGCATTTTAGTGAGATATAGTGCCATTAAATCAGCATTTCCATGCAGTGTTCAATTAAGAAGAAAAGATTTGCTTGGTATTTCTGCCTTCCTGACTGCAAGTTTATCAAGCTGTCAGATACGGTTTGCCACCACACCAGCCTGGGACACGATTTGCTTCACTGGAGCCAGGACAAGATTACCCATCAAGCATGGCACATCACGAGGAAAAAATAACAATCATTTTACAGAACAAGATAAATCGACAGGCTTCAAAGATAATAGGCTACGTTATGTGCTAGATGAAAATTAATTGGAACTTTTATTGCTTGGACAGTCTTCAGAGCAAAATGGGAAAGCAGTCCATTCCACAAACACGACTATGACCAGGTGCGCTAGGCAGGAATAAGCAGGTCCTGCTGAGTACATGGCACAGTGGATATCTGCAGACAACGTTAACTTTAGACCTCTGGCTCTGTAATGGAAAATAACCGCTGCAGCAAAAGGAGAAACAAAAAAGTCTAAACACACAACAGGCTGTGGTGAGATATACTCAGGGGGTACAAACTAATGAATTCAGCCCGATGGACTTTTAAAGGGCCCAGAGTAAAGACTTCAAAATCCTAAAATGGCTATTACCGGTACTCTTACGTTTTATATAATGCTCACAATAGGTAAGAGATATACAAACCTTTTATACTGGGGTTCGTTTATCATTTTGTAGGACCCCCAAACTCTTAGAATAAAGTTTTGAGGCTGTAAAATTTGGGGGTTTTGTTACTAAGTTAATCTCACTTCTCTCGAACTGGCAATTCCAAAAATCAACACGGTGCCCCTTTTTTTCCAGCATTGATCTAGGTTTTCCCCAAGCATGTTTAAATTCATCTACTGTTGACTGACCTTTGTTGGAATTCTCTTTGATTTCAGCCTGCCAGGCCACACTGTTGACTCATTTTCCAATCATCTGAAATAGGCACCCCCAAATTTTTTTTTTCTGTTGCTCTGAATAACACTGCACTCCAATACTGTACTCTATCAGAGGATTCCTATTCTCTAAGTGCATTATTTTAAATTTAGAAATGTTGAACTGCAGTTTCCACTGCCTTGACCAAAAAGAACACGCTCACACCTATGTACGTGTGTAAAAAAAAATTAAGAGTGGCAGGCCATTTTTTTCCCAAGGATATGTAATATTCACCAACTTTTTATTTCCATATAGTCTGTTGAATTTACCATTAAA